TGCACATTATATTTTGAGTTTACTTGCACGAGCTGATCTATGATGATCTATGTGCATAGTGCAGTGTGCACCAGAGTTATTCGATTCCTGTTGTGTGAGCAATCACAGTGCATATCTCACGATAATGTCACTTCAAGTTATTAAACACTAGCGCATAATCTCAATTTTACCCCAAAAATTGTTCAACAATGTAAGAGGTTGAATTCAAACCATCCACACGATTGACAGTAAAATTTAGATGATAGTGTGCATATTCAGGTACTACTACTACTAAGACTTACCCCTTTTCCTTTTACACAAACAAACTTGCCGAGACTGGGAAGAATCATCCGAGTATCTATTTGGCTTTGTGTAATAATCCAATATTGCAGATAATGGCAAGGGAAAACTAGTCATTCGTTGTTTGAAATTGTTCCTTGAAAGCAGTTCTGAACTATCGTTATTTGATTCTAATTGGTTGTCACTCTTACTAGCATTGCACAAGTGGCCGTCCGTGTGATCCTTAGAATCTGGATGAGATGGATTACTGTTTTCCTCGCTTTGATTGTGAAAATGACTCGTAATTCCTAATGCTGACTGGATAGTGGTCGTTGCATGTCTGCCACATTGTAGCAATGCATTCACTGGTATCACCATACCATTTAGATTATTTTGTAATAACGTAGACAACATTGTAATTCCCTTTATGTCATGTGCTATGTTCACCTGCAAAAAAACAACCAACCAATATAAAGTTTACAACCAAATTTAGAAAAATAGCCAAAATTGACCACTTCAAATAGATACATACATGGCGCGACAGACTGATAACAACGCTGAGACCCCACAAACGAAAACACAAACATATAACTTATAAGGATATTGACTTCGAAAAAATTGGGGGTCACCAGCATTATTTTTGAGAAATTGATGGTTGTATTTTATTAGAAAGTCACCATTTTGGCACTATTATAACATTTTTACCATAGGTTCCTATCTTTTGATGTCCCGAATTATTTCAAAAATCTGGGTTTTTAAAAAGTGTCAAAAAATGCAACATTGTGTTCTATGGAAGTGTTCTAAAAATAGTGATTTTCAAATAATGCTCGAACATGTTTCTCCAAAAACTTAAACCGCAGCTCTGGGTGTATAAACGGAAAGATGGTCGCCAGTTTGGGTGTCGGGCAACTGGGTATGTCCATGCCACACAGCCGTATCACAAAGTTTTTTTTGTTTTATTAATTTGGGGAGCAGATCCTCTGGCAACCATAAAATTCTGATTGACCTGGGATCACATGTGGCCACAGTCTTCAACTGTGACCTGCCTGATAGCTCCATTTTAACTTAGAATTATTAAAAACTCCTCACCCTGGTAGGGAAAACCTTATCGCCCCACTTGGTGGCGCCGCTGAATTGCAGTGCTCTCTCTTGCAGTTTTTTTCCTAGAAAAAACCCTGATTAACAATGACCAATAGCTATCACAACCTTGATTTTGAATCTACAATATTATTATAATTATTTACAATTTACACTTTATAACGTATTTCTTGCATTCGATCAATTGAATTGTGTTCTTTCATTCCAGATTAAGTTCATTCATAAAATAGTGTTTGTGGCTAGGAGCTTTTTGTATACGACTTATTTATTTAATTAATAATTAAATGGCACTAACATCAATATAATCAGTGATACATGTACCATAATGGCTCTATTAGGAGTGCATTCGCTTATGTAGATGATTTAAGGATTCAAAAAAACACGATTTTCGGTATATTAAGCACTTCTTTTGGATGACCTAATACTAGTCGTGCAAATAAGGTATTCGAGAATGTTTTTTTAAGTGATAAATTGTCACAACTGCTATGACTCTCTGTACATAATATCCAATATTCAGAATTTAATTTTAAAGTGTCAAATTTGACGTTGAGATAATCACCAGGTTTTAGATTCAATGGTTTGTGAAGGAGACAATACAATCTATTATTAGATTTGTATATTTACTGGGCTTTAATTCACAGCAAGTCTCAGAAGTATTGGGGCAGCCAATTTGCAAACTCGCTAGCGAATTGGCTAAATGTTTGGGTTTTAACTAAACAGTTGGCTTTCGACGGCGCCAGCGAGATTCGAAGGCCAACTGATTAGTCAATGCATTTAGTTGTCAGCGAAATAAGCAAAAATAAAACCCAGCTACCCCGGTAATAATTGAACCCTAGCTATTCTCTAAGACAAGCCTACGTCACAAACTGGTCAAAATCCCCCAAACTTTGCCAGCAACCAATCACAGACTAGCTTAAACAATAGCTTTCCCTGACGATAATACTTAGCAACGTTATTTCCCCCACGCTAACTTGAAAAATCTTTTGTTTTAGTCTCGTTTCCGTTTCCGGTCTGTCTTAGAGAATACAGTATTTCATATTTTATGTGTTATTGGATGTGCTTCTCCAACATCTTGTAGTTTAAGTCAAATACTTTTTTCGGTTGGGATTATTAATTTTCGATATTTTCGCTGAAGGAATGATTCATTGAAAATAAAATCAAGCTAATATACCTTTTTTTCCTATATTTTAATTTCAACTTGTCAAATGTAAGTTTATACAAAACACCAAAAACGTCTTTTCAGTGAAAATTAATTCCAGCTAAAATAAAGTATTTTACAGTATGTGAATTCCTTTTTCTCACATACATGTAGAGATACTGTTCCAAGTTTAGAGGTTATCAAACTTACCGATTTCTGTAAAAATGACACATTTGTATCAATCCAATAAAGCTGAATGTTGATATCGCGAAAAAGTCGATCATCCACCATTAATTTGTCTTTCAACATTTTCGAAGATATTGTTGTTTTTGATCCAACAAACTGTTGCAGCATATGCTCGCTGTCTGGGCATGGCGCAACAACGAAGACTATATTTCGTTGTTTTGTAACCGGGATTTCGTTCACACTGTTTTGTTTACGTGTTTTCTTATTTTGGGTAAAGTATGTTTTGGGCTTTCTTCGAACTGGCGAGCTGAGATCAGGCTGGTCCCAGCAGAAGTTTTGTGACACGATTTTCAATGCGCTTGACAACGTTTCGATCGTATTTGCTTCTTTCGTCGAGAGATCTTGGATTTTATGTTCCACATCTTGTTCAAATTCTTCGAATTGCTTTAACTTGAACTCCTTAAATTCGTACCTCTGCACATACAATTTCTCCGAGATATAAGAATATCCCCACTTCAGTGAATCTGCAGTCCCTCGTTTTCCGGCGAAGAAACTCAAAATCTTCAAAACCGTTGATTTAAGAGCTGCAGCATTTTTCACAATGTCAACCTCATTCGAGTCTTTTTGGGCAGAGTTGAGCAAGTCTAGAAGGAACACAATCTGGTAATTTTGTGTCGAAATCTCCATATTACTCTCACGGCTACACGATGGCCGATCACTTCTTGTTTACAACCATTTTAAATTTAATCTATTACGCATGCGCATTTGTGATATGCTATTAATGGCGGGAAAAGTTGTTAGTTGAGGGTCAATCACAAAGTCTATAAAGAGACTGTGTTGCAAAGAACTAATAACTAAAAAACTATTATTATTATTATTGTATTCACACTTGTACAAGGATATTTTGGTAGTGTAGAGAAGTTATTGTCTTCTAGTTTCAGGTGGATATATGTTCGGAGAGAACTACGTATATTTTTTTATTCCTGTCTGGTTTCCTGTCTCGATGTCAACGCTACACAAAAGGGGTTCTCCGGGTTTAGGTTAAAATGGCTTTCAGTGGATTTTTTAAAAATTATTTAACTATAAATTTGTATCAACTTATTTGATTAATAAATCTGCTGACATGGTTGTGTACACGAATGGCGATGGTGTTCAATTTGAGTGTTATTCGGTTAGTCGAGTACACCGCGACAAGAAAACGATGGGTTCTTGTCGTTAAACACGGACTAATGTCATTCATTTTAATATGTTGTTTGTTTGTTTGCGTGTAGTTAGGTGTATATATCATAAATAACTAACACTAACAATACAGAAAAAAATCAAACAAGACGCTCAGATTTCTAAACATAGAAAAAATAGTTTATTTGTGTTCTCTGAAGGCGGCTGGTTTAAGAATGTCACGTTTAAATGCATTTTCTCGTATATTAAAAGAGTTATAGATATGTTTCGTCACATCAATTATAATGTTCATCTTTATTGTTTTGAATATTAATTAATAACTGAATAACGGGGGTAGTTTTTGGACATCGATATCCTGAATGTTGCCACAGGGGGCGCTATAGTATTAGCGTCAATTATCATGCCTCCCTGCCACCCACTCTGGTCACATACACATGTTTTATAGGGTTCATTTTAAAGGTCTTGAAGCCCAGTGTTCTTGTACATAAGTTTACAACAGTTTCAATTTCTCGATAAACACGAATGTTTGGTCGAAAAGTCAACGAATGGAAAAAAATCATATATTATAGAAATTATACTGTGTGCAAATTCGCCAAGGGTAGCAGGGAGGTTGTGACGAAATTGTGAGAGAATTTGTAATATATATAAACAAAATGGTGATGAGTACCATTTGTAACGTTAATGCCCGCATGATAGGATTTGAGACTGACGACTGACTGACGACAAAAGTCATACACTTTTTATACATTTACATGTTGTAAATTATATTGATTTTTTTTGAAGGGTTGATGACCACAATTACGGTCAAATGAACAGATTAAATATAATTACATGTAAGTTAGTGTAAGTAATTTCCTGGCTTATGGAGCTCTATGAATATTTGCATATGTATGATTGATTTAGTATTATTCATTGACATAGGAACTGGTGCGCTCAACGCTTTCCAGATTAACCTTGCGCCTCGTACTATTTTGAAAATATTCATGCAGTATCATTCGTGTGTCGGTAATGAGCTATCGAAAATTGTATATCCATTCTAACAAAGTTGAACTACACGGAGTCAGTTAGTCAGTATATAACAGTATCCTAAAAATAAGTAAATCAATAAATAAGGCCGATAAAAGTACGTTTTACCACGACTGGGGTAACAACATTGAACAAATCGTGATTATTATTTCTGTCTCACTCGGTGTATGTATAAGCACATGTACTGAAATGAGGCCATGTATAACACCTTGCATAGTTTTAAACCTATAAATTTGATGAAAGTGATTTTGATTGACTAATTGATTGATTATCCAAACACTATATTTAGTTTAGTTGCTTTAGTTTCCACTGGTGATTGCAAATACAAATAGAAGAATTATACTGTATTGATGATTCCTGACTGATACCCTCGCACAAAATGGCAACTTGAAGAATTTGGTGTTACTAATAGTTTATTTTATATACATGTAGTATGGTATGTTTAGCTCCATATGCAAAAAAAAAGTAAGGGTTTATTGATCCATTTAATATCTGGTGCTAGAGCTGGGAAAATTGGTTATTAGTCAATGGAATACCTTTTCTCAAAAAAGGTTACGATCACGATTTATATATGCTGTGAGACACGTAAGGATAATTTCGCAATAATTTCTGTATTTCGTAACGATTTTGTAAAAATGTTCTGAAACAAAACAACTTTCTCGTCGATATGACAGCTAGGAAATGCCAAGTGCGATATACAGTTAGTTGTAGATCAGTGCTCGTAAACGGTTGTAAGAACCACATTGAAACACACCGTCACGGTGGTGAGTTATTAACGTGCGTAGTGATTACAAATAAATAGTTCCGGCCGCAAAGTAAAAAATAGTGTGCGTATTGACAATTTTACTATCGGGTCAAGAGAACCACGCGTTCTATCTATAATTGAATAGTTTACTTGTATGGGCGCACCAGCGTTGTAATGGACTAAGTCGCTGAGGTTTCCAATGTAACAGAACCCTTTCGCGGCAACTGATTTGCAGAAGTTCGACTGAAATATAACATTCTGGTATTCACTAGTTAGCACAATCCCGCGTTACATAAAATCAAAATAAAAAATTAAGTACAACAGTGGACACGACCCGGACACGACCACGACGACCCGGACACGGCTTCACGACGACCACAAGTGACCATGGCATCAGAGATTGCATCAGCTCCGATCTTACGACACCTTACGTAAAAGCCAAAAATAGTTACCGATACTCGTCAAGTAATGCAAATACGTACTTGAAGTTAGCAGCAAATCACACCTGTGTTGCGTTCCATCCAAAAAAAAAAAAAAAAAAAAAATAATAATAATAAAACATTCTGCTGTTAAAAAATTATGTTATTACATGTTTGGAGTACTAGTGCTAATACTTCCAATATTTACATATCCAGTTGATCCCGGCGTAAAGGTCATGGCTGCATTGTTTTTACGGGCATCATAAGTGCTCTACATCGCGTAATGAAAACAATCGATGATTGTCTGGATATAAATTGGAATGATCAGCTCTAAACTTTTAGAACATTGCGAGTGTTATCCCCTGTACAGCTGCGAGTATGAGTGATATTTCAAGCGAGGTAAGATAAGGATTTTTATATTTATTCATTTGACATATCGTATTGGTTCGTTGTACTTGTACTGTGCTACTATTACAACTTTTAATTTAATATAATGTAAATATTTTGGTAAACACCCTTAATCAACAACAAAATACACACACAAACATATTGAAATCATTTGGAATTCAGCTTGCGCCTGACATTAGGAGATCCCATTCCGTGCTGCAACAGAGAATTTATGAAATATCTTGAATTAATTGGCAAAACGCTCGAATTTCTTGTATTTCTCATATATAATAATGTGGTTAGGTTTCAAAAAAATATTTCTCCGATAAATTGGCCTGAAACCCATTAAAAGGCTAGACAGAAATAACACTTTGTTCATCGGCGGCGAGATATATTTTTGTTTGCTCAAAAAGATTACCTGTTTAAACTCAATTTGAATGTACAAAACGCAGAAACGTCCAAGAAAATATTGCAAACTTTGCAGCAGATGGCTATGAACTGTTTGGGGGAGGTACTGACAGCGGCAACACTCGACACGTTTCAGATAAAGCCACAAAATTAAACTACAACTAGTTGCCATATTTTTTGTTATTTGCAAATATTACTTTTTTTTAAAACTGTCTACCTTTTTCTTTTTTGAATATTATTGTGTCGGTGATAGGTCTCGTCACTGTCACTGATGTCTGTTTGTTTTTTATGTATGAATTGTGGAAGTGTTGACGGTACGTACAGTGCAATGCATTTTTCTAAACTTGAAGAAAGTCTACGTACAAGGGCTATGTGACCATCTCCTAGCATCGCATCTCATAATATGCTGATTATGTTATATCTCGATACCATCATAATTTCAATACGTTCTAAATAAATTGACTTGCAATTACAAATTTGAAATATTCAATGTATATGATAAACTAGGAACCAACTAACACAAGTCTGGAGAGAGTAAAACACAGGGTAACACACCACTTTTATTTTCATTGCAAATGAACGAATTATTGATATTCGGATGCAATTATATTCAACACAATTGACTGCTGCAAAGTTTGTTACCTTTTTACTGTTGTTATGTCCCCGACCATAAATTTCATCATATCTGTAATAGATACATTTAGAAGAAAACTATTTTATTAATTTGTGTTATTAACTTTGTTATTAATTTTTTCTGGGCCTTGCATTAAATATGTTTCTCGAGCGCCACCAGCGTTGGGACGGAGGTGCGCTTTTTGCCGACTTCTGTTCTCGGGAGCTCGTTTACAGAAATTCGAATAAAATATAACACTGTTAGTTGGCATATTTCCACGTCGCATAAAATCAAAACAATAAAAAACGAGTATGTGGAGACGACCAAGACGACCTCGGGTGATTGTGTGCCCTCTTTATATTCGCGATTGCATCAGACCCGATCATCAAAATGACATGTGTCATTCGACTCCTTAAGTCGAAAGAAAAAAAGAGTCATGCATCTTACTGAAAACTTTTGCATTAGTAAATAAAATAAGCTAATTTTGTGATTTTTATATAGTATAATACTTTTTGTAGTAAATGGATATATATATTAGAGTGTTCTGTATAGATGATACGTAAACTAAATAATTAATATTAAACCGTACGTAGTTAAGGGGTATTATCACGGAAATAAAGATGGCGGAAAAAGTTGCAGCCAGCATGGAGAAAATGGAAATTCAAGACAAGAAAAAGGCACGATCTTAATTCCTTCAATTTTTCCACTATCAGATTTTCAATGTCTTCTATGCTAGCCAGAATTTCCATTTACCGTGTATCCAAGAAACTACTGGGCAGAATTGTCAAAACTATGAGCACTGTTCCGGTTAGTGAACACATGATAAATATTTTCGACCACATTGCGTCGAGTACGCACGGGAGGAGGGAGTATGGCCATTTCATTAATTTGCATTTGATTATCTGTATTTTTTTGGTCTACATAATCGAATGTTAATAGCATAATGAGGTCTACCTATTGTATTGGTCAGGGGCACTGGTATGTTTATTATTACATATGGAGACCCCCCCCCCCCCCCAAATAAAAGTACGTCAAGATTACATGTATTTAATATCCCCACTGTTTATAATATAGATATTGAATGTTTGGATTTTTTTTTTACTTTCAATATTGACTTAGCCTGATATACCTCTGGTATGAATCATGGCTTGCCTTGTTTCATCAGCACCATACATGTGTTGATGTGATTACATCATGAAAACAGTCAATAATTGTCTAGGTATAAATTGGAATGATCAGCTTTAAATTTTTAGAACTTTGTCAGCTTTATTCCTAATTTGTCTGCGATTATGAGTGATATTTTGAGTCAGGTAAGAGCAGTGCAATTAGTTTTGTGTTTATTCATTTGACATATCGTATTGGTTTGTTGTGTTGCATCTATATACGCTACTGTTTTTTCTGAGAAATTTTGATCCTTGTCAGTGCCGCCATTTGAAACTGAGTCAGTTTTTTTTTTTTTGATTGAATCACATGTCAAGATGATTTATGACATAACTGTCACTGTTTTCTTGTTGAATTAGGAGGAAGTAGGAACCAACGTAGGTGATGCTCCACAGGTGAAAAAAGCTCCCAAAGACAAGAAAAAAAAGAAGGCTGGCGCTAGTGAGACTGGACACCCAGTTGAGGTACGTACAATATGTTGTACTGGTACTGTCGAGTTAATCCAGATATTTTCATGAAATTTTGTTAAAATTGCATGCATTTGTACCTGACTGTTTTGAATTGTCTACCTTTAATTGTTTTGTTTTAGTTGAGTCCATGGCCTGATTATATACAGTCACGTATTGAAATGTTTGAGAAACTCAAGTCTGAGTATAATGATGAAATATCAGGTATTTATTTTGATTATTGTCTCTCATCTCATATAATCATATTACCTTGTTTGAATTATTTATTATGACTATATGAAACTTTGAATCAAATTGTTTGCAAATTATGGTGTCAGAATAAGTATGTTTGGACCGTCTTTCACCTGACACTGTTTTTGTCACCTTGCAAAGCATCTTTTGATCAGTCATTGACCCTATGAAGAGCCTGGATGTACTGACTGTAGTGTGGGTTTTAGACAATTAAGTTTGGAATTCAGACCACATGTGTTCAGTTAGAGGTAATTTGCCGATTTAAAAGGGTACTATGTATGTACATAATAATTGTTGATTTCCATCTTCTTCCTCTTTCTCTATTTCGTCTTCTGCCTTCTTATTTTTACCGACATATTAATATATCCTTCCTACAACCATCACCTATCTTTCCTTCGCTGCATGTGTTTATTCTTTATTATGAAAATTAGAATGATTTCACCTCATTATTTGGTCAATTTCTGGAGCAACACTTTTATATCTACTATCAAATTCCATCTTAATATTTGTCTTTTTTCAGCCAAAGAAAAGACTCCTATTAAAGTAACCTTACCTGATGGTAAGGAAGTAGATGCACAGGCGTGGCTGACCACTCCATATATGGTAGCACAAGGTATCAGGTAAGATTTTATAATTCAAATACAGCCAGTTATGAATGCAGTAAATTAACAAATTATTACATTAGTCTAGGACTCAAATAATTATGAAATCAAACTACAAAGAATTCATCAAAAAAATGGAAATCCACTGGTATATCGCTAAATATGAATCTAGATATATTTATGTCAGTGTGAATACGAGGCTGAATTCACAAAACATCAATGTCTAAGTGGAACGCACTTTAGTATTCAGTCCTGTGAATGTTTTTTTTTATTTCAGTCAAGGCCTTGCTGATAACACTGTTATTGGTAAAGTGAATGGTGTTTTATGGGATTTAGATCGACCTTTAGAAGAAAACTGTTCTTTACAATTGCTGAAGTTTGATGATGATGAAGGACAGCAGGTTTTCTGGCACTCCAGTGCTCACATGTTGGGAGAAGCTATGGAGCGACACTATGGTGGATGTCTGTGTTATGGTCCACCAATAGAAACTGGATTCTTTTATGACATGTATTTGGAAGGAAGGTAAGAATAATTTTCATAATTCATCAATTGTATTGTAAAATTGACTCCACCAATCATGTATGTTGTAACATTGACTCCACCAATCATGTATGTTGTAACATTGACTCCACCAATCATGTATGTTGTATCATTGACTCCACCAATCATGTATGTTGTAACATTGGCTTCACTAGTCATGTATTTTACATTCAACTTGTCAAAAATCAGTGGAAATAAATTCCATACAAAACGACCAAAAATTCTTTTCAGCGAAAATTAATTCCAGCCGAAATAAAGTATTCTACAGTATTAGAATTAGTATAAATCATTGGTACTTTATTAGTCCCCGTTCAGACGAAGTCCGAAAACGGGGACTTGTAATTCGGTCTCCGTCCGTCCGTGCGTCTGTGCGTCCGTCCGGAGTCATATCTCAGAATCCCTTGGACCAATTCCGTTCATTCTTTGCATGTGCCTAGTACTTTATGTGGGACAAGGATGGCCGATTGACAGCCATCTGACTTTTTGGCCTTACTGCTATATTTCCACAATTTATGTACCATTTTCATTCATATTTGGCACATACATCATACATATCAGTGTGTTTCATAATCAGATCAAAGATGGCCGAATACCGGCTGTTTTTATTTTTGGCCATATTACTAGTACAAGGAACACATGTTTTGATGTAAATAAACAAACTGTTGTATACGCCACTTGGAACTCAAGTTTCAAGGACACGCTCGCGACAACTTCTTCACTTTAATATGACGAGCACAAAGAGAACTTTTAAAAATTTAACGGGGACTGTGTCATTTTCAATGACTTGTTATTCATGCAAGTTATTGGAATTAATCTTTTCACCAGTTATGATTGTTTTGACTTCATTTTAGACAAGTTTCTAGTAATGACTTTCCTAATCTGATGCAAGTTGTCAAGAAAATTCAGAAAGACAAACAACCATTCGAGAGATTGGAGATGAAGAAGGAAGATTTGTTAAAAATGTTTGAGGTAAGTTACATCCTGACATAGCTAGCCTTGTATCTATATGATGTTCCACTCACTGCATACCACTCTACTAATGCCTTGCTACAATGCAGTAATATCATGGCTATAGATTTGATTGGTTGAATGAAGTATACTCATTTGATATGATTATAAGGAATTCCAACACAATGAATATAGAGTATTTTATTTCTCAAGACAGCTTGCATAAAAATGAATTGGTAAAGAGATAGTACTATCATCATATCTATGTGTTAATTGAGTGATGTGTAGTCAGGAAAATGCCGCTACAATCCTGCAAACAAAGATGGTGCCATTGTCCATTGACAATCAATTTATTTCCAGAAATAATTTATAGAGATGTGGCAAATTACTTGACACATGGAAAATCTCACTAACTAGCATTTCACTGTGATCCTGGAATGTCCTTAATTGAACGGTTGACTTTATTGCTTCCTTGCATTTTTATACTGAGTTTGACTTGAAGCACAAATTCTTACAAAACAATAATTTAGTTATTTTGAATGTGTTAAAAAATATGTCAACTTATCAATAAAGTAGTAAATGTATCACATGATAAGTTACATTTTAAATTACTATTTTTTTAATCTTTTCTAGTATAATCAATTCAAAGTGCGAATCTTGAATGAGAAGGTTACCACGCCAACTACCACTGTGTACAGGTAAGATAGCAAGACATTGTTTTACTGGCTTACTTACTTCATAGAATTGATAATAAAATAAATTGAGAGCTTAGTAGATGTATCCTTGAAGAACTTAACTAAAAAGTTAAAGGGCGACAGTCGTCGCACCGTGTTCTGTTCGATATGGGACTCATAGCGACGTATACAACGCGTGTAAAATACATTGTTTATTTACATGAAATTCGAACAAGCGCTGTGCGACGACCACTGCGCATTAATGTACAGTAAAATATTTGTAAACCAAAATTGATCAAATTTTGTAAATGGCCTCCATTGTAAATGATAAAATTATTTTTAAATCTGACCTGCCAGAACCAGCATTAGTGTAACGCACCGCGTTCTGTTCGATATGGGACTCATAGCGACGTATACAACGCGTGTAAAAAACATTGTTTATTTACATGACATTCGAACAAGCGCTGTGCGACGACCACTGCGCATTAATGTACAGTAAAATATTTGTAAACCAAAATTGATCAAATTTTGTAAATGGCCTCCATTGTAAATGATAAAATTATTTTTAAATCTGACCTGCCAGAACCAGCATTAGTGTAATGAACAATGACATGAACCACGAAATCAGCCACCTAGCCATCATGTGAGCTGTCTATTCATCACTGACATATGTTGATATTGGCCACAATGCGTATTTATATGAATGTCCAGATTGTATCAAGTTTCAATATGATTTGTAATCTAGACTTACATACAGTATCTTGGTTAGTTTTTGAGTTTTTGTTTTTTTCAATAAAATGAAATATGGAAGTGTATACATGGCAAAAGCCGGGTTCCTGCAAAAAACAAGAGACTTGTGACCCATACTAATAATATTAATGAGAATTTTGATGATGTCACAAATGTGATGGGCGAAGCTTGTATACGTATAATTTTACATTCTTTCAAGATGGCAAGTGATCACTAGCACGCCAAAAAATAAGCTTCACAACTATCGTATCACTGAGAACTTAGCAATGCATTTTTATTGTATGTTGGGTCAAAGATAGATCGGATAACCCTGTTTAAAGCTGGCCAGAAGACTTGTCTTTCAAGAAAATGAGTTGCCAGTCCAGTACTGACAAAACACTCACACAAACATCGCAACCAGAGATGTTCACATCAACGACCTCTTGGTATTTTCAAAGCAATGTATAGACCAGTAGTATCCTAGTAGTCTTGCAATGTCATCATAAACAAATCTCAAAGAATAATGTGAAATGCAAGCTTGCGAAATTTAAGTTTCAGCACGGTTTCTAATAAACTATTGAGACGAATCTATCTTCAATTTTGACCTCAACGCTGATTGGTGGAATATTAATGACCAAATCAATCATTGCATCACGCACTGAACCCAGACCAGTGAGAATCATCTTCAGTGTAGCGAGAGCGTTTCTACAAGCGTCACAAGTCCCTTGTTTATTTCACAGTAACCTGGCTTTCGCCATTTACACACTCCCATGATATTTTATTTTATTGAAAAAATAAACAAGAGACTGTATGCAAGTCTATAAAATATCATGTTTATGTGAATTATGATTTTCATTATGTATGATAGAAGGCATGACATTAAGTATGCGCTGGTCCCAGATTGTGTAATTTCATCGCAAATCGTCCAAATATTAATTATCTGAACTATGACCTACTATCACTTTGTTAATAAGATTTACTTGTTGTTTTTGTCTGGACAAGGTGTGGGCCGCTCATAGATCTGTGTCGTGGTCCCCATGTAAGGCATACTGGGAAAGTCAAGGCATTGGAGGTTGTCAAGGTGAGTTAAAATGTATAGAGTTGGGTCAAGGCACATGTAGGTCTGGACTGAAGTGTTGGGTCAAAGCATGTAGGATTGAATCAAAGCATGTATGGTTGACTAAAAGCCTGTAGGTTTGACAAATACTAAAACCCAACCCAAAACTAAAATCATAATTATCAAGCTAAATACTAGTTTTCATCTTTTCAGAACTCTGCAACTTATTGGGAAGGCAAGGCAGATGCTGAATCCCTTCAAAGAATATATGGAATCTCTTTCCCTGATACTAAACAGCTGAAGGAATGGAAGCATTTCCAGGAGGAGGCAGCTAAGAGAGACCACCGGAAGATTGGACGTGACCAGGAATTGTACTTCTTTCATGAACTCAGTCCAGGCAGCTGTTTTTTTCATCCCAAAGGAGCTCATATCTACAACACACTTATCAATTACATCAAAGTGAGTCAAAATCTCTGCATATTAATTAACTATTTTGTGTATTTATGAAATAATACTAAAATAATTTAAGTAAATATTAATATTTTAATTTGTTTGTTTTTTCAGAGTGAGTACAGGATGA